AAGCTTACTTCTAAAAGGGTGATAAGAGAAACTACCGTTTATGTCTATTTATAAGTAGTTTATTACAAAAATTTGGCAATTCATAAAATTTCAATTATTACCAATATTAGCCAATTAGCTATTTGTAGCCAAAAGAGATCAAAATTTTGCTTTCTTTGGAGTGGGTGTTATTAGAATAGATTGGGTACATCTTAAAGAGCTTGAATCTCAGTTTTGGGATGATTTGGTGGAATTTTGAGGTGGTTTGAATTGAAAATTCGAATTAGAAGATGAACATGAAAAAATAATATGTGTATCACACTGTGTATCACATATATATCATATTTGTATCAAATGTGTATCACATGTATATCTATGTATGTATGTGTGTGAGATACATGTGTGATACATGTTTGATACATGTTTCGCACAAGAATTTTTTGAACTCGATTTTAACTACGAGTTTTGATACCAAATTAGTCCAAAACTCCAAATGACATCCAATCTTCCTTAAATTTTACATATAAACTCATCTATATGTTTTCAAGGAATTTTAACCATATCCATTGAAAAGGTCATTTTTGCTTAGATTTTTGGAATCTTGTATATAATTTTTTTGTATTTCATCACCTTATTTGCTATCTCATCCATGAATTTTCCTTTCTGTCTTGCATCTAATGTTGCTAATCACGCTTAAAAATATGGAAGGAGATCTTTGCGTGTGATTCCTGGAGAGAAAGAACCTTATTGATTTGGATTTTAAAATTTTTATATGTGTTTGGCTAGTTTTGGTAAGTCTATGATTAATGGCTAGAGGTTGGTAAGTTGGGACTTATTTGGGACATTTGTGTAAGATTCCCTTTTTAAAAGTACTGATACTCTTGCTTGGTAACTAAGTTTGTTTTATCAATCATAACATATAGTATAACATTTTCGACTCATTTGAACGAGTAATTTTCACCTCCAATTTTAGTTGAATTAAATAAATCTTCAGATGTAACAATTTTAGTGTCAACAAGGCTCGTTAATCAAACGTATTCTACTATTGACATAAAAAAGTAGAGGGAATAATATCAAGCTCGAAATATGAATTTTGATAAAACTATTCACTTTTCTTACTTGAAAAAGAACAACATCAAATTGATTTTGTCAAAGATGTAACTTTTTTCCGGTAAAATCAAAGTTAGAACTTGTAAGGCTGGCAACACTTTGGCGGAAACCATTTATATAAAAGTTATGTCAAAATATTGACAAGGTTACCTACACTCTGCATGCCTTGACTCGGGACTATTCATTCTTTAATTTTATGATGATGCCCAACTAAGTTAAAATTTCATTATTATAACTTTTGTAGAATTTCATCATGAATAACAATTTTGATATATTTATATAAAAGAATTTGGTGCGAATGCATGAGTACCTCATGTTGTTGCACTTCTTTAATTTTCATGCCACAGCCTACAAGTTCTCAAATTTAAACTGATTAAAGTCTTGAATTTTTTAACAGAAGCAGAGAGAGATATATAATCAATAACAAGTTGGAAACGAGAAAGTAACTCTGTTAGATTATATTAGAATATCTATGTTTTACGTACATTGAACCCTCCAACTGTAATAAATGTATAAGAACCAAAACAAAAAAATTAATCAAACAGCAACAGCCAAAATTTTTAGTCAAAGAAATGAATAAATATATATGTGCCCCTATCTCTTGGGATTTCAGGCAACTCCATGAGATGTTTTCCCATCCAAAAGTTTTGGATATGTGATATTTGGAATAGAGGAAAGAAACTTGAAGCTAGTGACCTCGTCCACGATGATTTGGCCCAGAATATGCTCTCTGTATCACTAAATTCTCTACCACTGATGAGAAAGAATAATGTAATTCCTTAAGGTTTCTTGATCCTTCCACCTGCATGGAATTCGAAAGCCACACAAAAACCAGGATCATTGCCAAGGCTTTTAGAGCCGCTAGAAAAGAGTTGAAACACTTCATTTTACGCGTTGTTACTTCTTGTGCTGTTTTTGGGTTTAAGACGAACACTTGTAAGACAGTGCAAGTCTAAATTTGGTGTAGAAAAATAGAACGGAAGCACCTCCCTAAATTCTAATTTTTCTTGTTGTTTGCGTTTCAGAAAGAAATAGTTAGTATATAAAGGTGATAAAGTAGCAGGGAGTTGGTTACGTAGAAGTGCAAGAAAGGTATGTTTCTTTGACTTTGGTTATCGTAGTACTTTGACTCATGCCAAGGCGGAGAAGACCTTTTTTCATAAGTTTGAATTCTTGGTTTCAAACGATAAACCATACTTGGATTTGAATGCGGGCATGTCAAACAATGGGACATTAAATAATATGAGAAAATCTTACTTTATACCCGTTAATTTCAAACTATTTACCCTTTAATGTCCAGACCCAAACTATTTACTACTCCTACCCATACTCCCCAAACTATTTACCCGCTAGTTTCACTTCCTATATATCTGTCAGAACATTCCCTTCGTGTTGGAATTAATAGTTTGGAACTTTTTCTTCTGTTAGACATTTTGTAGTGCAATAAAATGAGAAAGAACTAAATAATGGCAGTACCACCTAGCTAAGATGAGGTTCTCAACGGAAGAAAAAGTTCATCTTCTTTCGTTTTCCTGAACTAAACAAAACTTTCTTTTGGATCTTTCATTTTCTTCGCAATTTCTTTTTCCAAAATTCCCAAAATTTTCTTTGCTAAAAGAGCTGGGACTCAACTCTGCAAAACCCCCAAATGGACGAGGTGGTGGAGGAAGTAGAAAAGTAAAAAAAGATTTTGAAGAAACATACAAACAGACACAACAACACATCAATTCCATTCAGGAATATGGCAAATCGACAAGATTAATTTCAGAAGAGAAAAGTTCACTCCCAAGATTGAATATCCACCATTATTGGGCTTAAAGCTCAATTTTATTTTTGAAGATTTCTTGTTTGATTCAAAGTGGGTGCTGTTAAATATTGCTTATAGTACCCTCTGAAAGTTCATACTGAAATTTGATAGCATTTGGACCTGATTTGAGGTGATTGAGATCGAAATTTTCAGTTGAAAATCGAAGAAGAACACAGCTACAGTATATCGCTACGGTATACAATATGTTGTAGGAGTATATAGCTATACTGCAACAGTACACTATTATAATTTACAAAACAGTATACCGCTATAGTATATTAATATACTATAGGAGTATATAGTTATACTGCAACAATATACTATTATAGTATACAATATATTGTTATGGTATACTGTAATAATATGCAAGATACTGTAACAATATGTTGTAATAGTATACAATATACTATAATAGTATACTTATTACCCTTAAATTCACTTGCCTTTTCCCTTTTAATTTGTTTTAAGCTTTTACCCAGCGTGAAGGGCAAATTGAAAATGAAAAAAAAAAATAAAAAAATTATGGTATGCTATAAGATGTAACGACATAATCTTACAATTAGATCCTTTTAGAATTTTTTATTGACAACTGATATTATTTTAGTTTAATAATTGAATTATTTTTTTTAACTCATTGCGTATAATTGTATACCCTGTTGGTATAGCTATATACTATACTAGTATCATATGTTAGTTAATATTTTTTTGGTTTTATTAGCTACATTTTTAATTGGTACATAATTTGATTTTTCTTTAGTAATAATATAAAAAAAAGACTAATAAAAAATAGTGAAAACAGTAAATGAAATTAGATTATGAAGAGAAAAAGAATATAAAAAAAAGTTAAATGAAATTAGAAAAGGAAAAAATAAAAAAATAAGAAGAAAACGAGAAAAAAGAAAAAAGAAAAGAAAATAAGCATAGAAATAAAAAAGAATTGGAAAATAAAGAAAAAATTCCCCACAAAACCTACTATGGGTAGGAAATATAATTAGTTTATGGGTAGGAAAACAAATGGGTAGATAAGGATAAATAGATTTGTTTTTTGGGTAACTGTGTCAAAACCCCAAATAATATTCCTCCACGGCGGTGTTCCAAGGTTACAAGAAGTAGGGTATACTATGGAACGAGGTTACAAAATTTATTCACACTCCGTATCTATGCAAATCAAATACTCCCTCCATTCACTTTTACTTGTCAACTATGGATTTTGCACGCCCCTTAACAAATAATAAATGAAGTGCATAATTTACCATGATACCCATATTAATTGATGCATCTTTTTAATGGATTTGAGAAAATGAGTAATTAATACTGTGAGTATAATAGAAAAAAAGAAATTGTCTTCTCTTGATATGCTAAAAGTGAGAAGTAAAAATAAAAATTTATTTTTAGAATATTAGACGAGTAAAAGTGAACGGTGGGAGTAGATTATGACCTTACTATATATAATTGGTCAAATTCTTTTGAAAAGGATTTGCCGTTAGCTCAGCTACAAGATTTAGCTTTTTCAAGTGGGTCTTTCACATTGGCTTTTTCAGACCAAAGAATGATCAATAACCTATAAAGACTTTCATGACCTAATCCCAGGAATACATTGGTTGAGCCGTGCTTCCTTTCTTCCTATCCTATCTACTTTTCAAAGGCAAAACTCATATTTTCCAGCGCCACATAAATTGGTTTTCTCACTTTTCCCTCTCTTTCTTATGTAACATGGATTCCTACAGAAAAGGTCCTTGTCACTACATTCTTGCCTTTTACAAAGTCCAATTCTTAATAAGCTGTACACTTTTTTCACCAGTCACGACAGAAGCCGGTGGATCGCAAGTCAGATACGTGAACTTTGACCAGAGAATTAGGATCCTCACTCGCCTACTTTTTTAGCTTTTACTGAAGTCCCGTTTAGGGGTCTTTGGATAATAATCCCAGGATGAATGTGGTATTGTTCATCTTTCATTTAGAGCTCTTATTTGTATTAACTATTAACCAACAACCTCATTTCAATTTGGCAGCAAGGATTTAACTTATTGCTCTCTGGTCTTCGATCTTGCTGACGTGCAGCTCACCAAAAATGACTAGGGAAAATTACCCCACTATAAGAAAATAAAACAGAAATGGCGTTGCCGGTAGGGGTTTTCAAATACCACGAAACGCTAACAATACTTGATAGTTTGAGTTGGGACAGGAATGCTTTAACGACGTGTTAAGACACAATCTAAAATTCAACCAATACGACTAACAAATCCATGAAAGTGAGATATGCAAAAAATTTACAAATCGCAAGATTTTGAACACCAATTCTGCGATTTCAACTTTTAACTGGGTCAACAGTCCACGTATTTCAACTTTAAACTGGGTCGACAGTCCCACATATATTGCACGCTGTTTGAAAAATGCCATTGAAAAAGGTGCAAAACCATGACTGACTACAAGATCACCTACACCAATTTGGAGCAAACCATCTCAGCTTTAGTTTTGGGCAAGGTGGAGAATGAAACATTACATGTTGTTCACCCGGTACATTTAATAACTTCAACGAAAAAGAAAAATTAAATGTTTCGTACTTAATAACTTACTACCTGTCTGCATCAACATTGCATCAGCGCAGTCCACAACCACTGAAACTGCTCCACTCCAATCAGCATTCATAGTGCAATGAGGCATGACCATCTCATCTAAAAATTTAAATTATTAAAGAGAGTATTGAACCAAATCCTTATCTGCCACAATCATATGTGAACACTAAGGAGAAGGGATAGATTAGGAGTATTCTTGAGTTTGTATTCTTATGATATGGAACTACACCACTTATGTATATCCCTAGGTTGCCCATCAACTATGTATATATGTATAAATAGTCAGCCGTGTACATGATGTAACAGAGAAATAAGAGAAATATCTGTGCAGTCCCAAACAATGCTCTGGTATCCTCTTTGTGTGGTTTAACACAGAGGATATCGTACTAATTTATTTGATTCTGTACCTACTCCCTTATTCCTAATACTTGTCTGTTAACGGGTGATAATGAGACTTAAATCCAAAGCTTCTGCCTATTTGGATACTATGTTAAATTGCGTGAGCACAACATATAAAAGCTTAAGCTTCTAGCTGAAGGAAATTTTTATTTATTTATTTATTTAATTGTTGTTAACACTTCCCATTTACTGAATTCCCTCTAGGAAAAGATAACTTTCAAAAGCTTTCGCATCAACCATGGGAAAGTGAAAAATAACATTCATGTTCCACTATTCAGTCAGATAAATTACAAATATCAAGGATGTGTTGAACTTCCATACAGGACTCCAGAAAGTAGCATGTGACAAAATGCATAGAGATTCAAGCATTTCATACCACCTTATGGCATCCATCCAAAGAAGCCCCACTTGACTTCAAGCAAAGAGGAAAGACAAATGTATACCTACAAGAATTGGGATGTATACCTACAAGAATTGGAAGCAACACACTCAAAGCACACAGGTACCTACCATGATATCCAGCTCGGTCAGCTTAACCTGGGGAGACGTCTTTCGGACCCAATATACCCCAATATACCCCCACTCTGTATGATTAGGACTTCAACTCTCTGTTTTGAAGCATAAAATTGAAATTGGTGAAAGATGTAAGTGCTTGAAGTAACATATGAAATGAAATGAAGATACAGAATATGACAAATGGGATGTGGATTACAAATAACCGTCTCTATCAGATCTTGCATTACAATGACCACAGAAGGTTACAAAATCCTCGACAAAAAATGACATGCTTCAGAGCTTCAGAAATCTTAATAGGAAGAATCATAGAGGTAATGACAGATCTAGGTCCTTTCGAGCCATATGAGGAGGGGAAGAAGATAAATCAAGAAAAGGAGAACATACGTGTTCAATAAGTGAATTGCCAGGGAAGTCAAAGCAAGATTGCTAATATAGAGTGTTCACATTTTCATTAAACGCTCATGAATAAACTAGTCATACTTCAGGAAATTCAAAAGCAAGATTGCTAGTGTAGAATGAATAAGTGCTCACCTGCATGACCGAAGCCACTATCTTGGAAGAGAGAACGTCAAAGATAACAGGGCTCTACTAACTTCATGTTATGCCGATAAAAAATTGCATGATCCTCTGTTAGACCAGGTGTGACTTCTTATACCAGAGGTCCTTTGCAACTATATCCAATTTACAAGCAGAGCAAGTGAGGGAACAGCATGCAGACTTGTAGACGTAGAGCACCTGAGACTTTTACTTGGCAAAGAAGGCATGCACGCATCACTCCATCACAGGGGCTATACAAAAGCAGCCACCATAGTTCTCACTAACCGATGCCTAGAAGTTGAGATAAAAACTTGATCAGGCTAGCTCAAGAATTCACTGTTAAAACAGAATCTAAACTTGAATTTACTAGTGAAATAGAATGCGATGCATCTAAACCGATGGTTTCAAAAACTTTATCAGGCTAGCTCCCGAATTCACTGTTAAAACTGTGAAAACAAATTCTAAACCTGAATTTACCAGTGAAAAAGAATGTGATGCATCAAACCGATGGTTTCAAATTCAGAGACTTTTTAAGATGTCACTCTCATTTTATCGTATTGCTATTCCACACTTTCAATCTTCCAGATTTTATAACAATAGGCTCCGATCAGAAAGATTCCCTCACTTTATATTTTAACCTTTTTATGCAAGTCTTCTGATTCCAATATCAGAACAGAGATTCTACCGATAGTTGAAAGTTCAGTATCATTTATGTTTAACTGGTTTGCAACAAAAAAGCCTGCAGCCCTGTACTTGCTAGTTTTAAAGGAGGAACAAAAGAAGCTATTTTGCTGCAAAGAACAACTTCAACCAGAATAGCCCAAAATCAATATCAATGCAGCATTTAAACTACTTAAGTTGACGCCCTTATATTACAAGGGGAAAGGAAGACACAACTTAACGCACAGTGAGACCATTACAGGCTTAAGAAGAAGAACAGAAACACCTCTGACACTGCTTGTTAACTGAAAGATACATGGGAACAATTTCCATGCAAAATCTGTCTGCAGACCAACTAACAAGGTACTTCCCATTTACAGACTTGATGGAGTTTTTGATAGGTGTGGCAACACAGTTACCAGATATGCTGGGAAGTTTTGACCCCTATAACAACCTAGATGGGTAGACCTTAATAACATTTTCTAATATTCGTAAATGAGGTATCATTATTATTATGTGGTTATTACTGTAAGATTGCCATCGCACACAATATGCTTACGAAATACCATCACCCTCGTATATTATTATTTTGTATACAAAAGAAAACATGTTTTGGAATTATTTACATGAGAACCAAAAGACAGCACTTAGTTATTCATTAAAGTCATGCTCCACAGACCCTGAACAACACATCCACATAGTAGAATCTTACACCATTAAGGAGTAAACTAACCTTAGAACGATAGAAAGAAATCTAGAAGAAACCAGATCAATTAATGTGTTAACGAGATCAGGACAGCCCAGTTTTTAAGGAAATATAGTCAAATCAATATCTAGTAGAAATCCTTTCAAAAATGCAAACAAGTCTATATCATTCTTTTGGTGCATGTCATAAACAAGGGAAAATAGTTTACAATTTGATACCATAGCAGACTGTAACACATAAGCAGAAACCATAACGGGACCGAAATGAGTATCATGTAACAAAATCTTCCAAGGCCAAAATCCAGAAGACATTTATCCTTTCCTGCATGTATAGCTACATTTCATGATTTCCACTGAGAGTCAGAAAGATAAGACTGAGAAGAAGATTATCCTAATCATATTTTCTTTAAAACACAATAATGACGGATACACCTATCTCAACAAGAAAAACAAAATGGAACTACTTATGGTACCTGAAAATGAGGAAGCAAGTTGTTGTAAACTTCTACGAAAATTTTTGACCTTGCAGTCAACCTGATTTCACAATTCCAATAACGTTAGACCGGCCCTTCATTCATAATAAAAATAAGAAATGTATTAGCCCCATTGCAGTTTCCAACCATGTTTACTTGTGCTGCTACTCACAGTAAAACAGGTAAATATTATCAAAACAATGTAAAAGATTTCCAAAATATCCAAACCAGTGGCGGAATTAGGTGGAGGGGAGGGGGTTCAACAGAATCCTCGTCGTTGAAAAATTATACTGTGTAAATAGGGTAAAAACGAATTTTTTGGTTATATATAAGCAATAAAGGAGCACCCAAAAGTGTGGCCTAGTGGTCAATAAAGTGGATTAGAATCATGAGGTCTCAGGTTCAGTTCCCCGCGGAAACAAAAAACACTAGGTGATTTCTTCCCATCTATCCAAGCCTTGGTGGATAGAGTTACCTGGTACCTGTTGCTAGTGGGAGGTAGCAGGTACCCTGTGGAATTAGTCGAGGTGCGCGCAAGCTAGCCCGGACACCACGGTTATATAAAAAAAACAATAAAGGGGGTGCAAAAGTTGCTTTAGGTCTCAAATTCAAAAATCAAAAGTCACATTCAACTATTTTTTTAATCCCCTTATATACATTTCTGCCTCCACTACCACTGATCCAAACAACAAAGATCATCTTATGAGGCGTATGAAGGCTTATTTCATCATTGTGCTAGACAATGTATTACCAAAAGCACCCAAAAAAGGACAAAGAAGAAAGAAGTAGAAAAGACAGCTCTCAAGAGTCCCTTTAGTTATTATCTAAGAACTTAGTCACCAGCTGTTGTGGGGAATGTCACAAAGTTAAAGGTTAATGACAGGAGAAGCCTATATGAATCTTCGAAGACCTAGTACTCTATCCTAAGTTTCTCTTGGACAGTCAGCTCTTCCTCCCGTATTTATAATTAAACCTTTCCAAAAATAACAGCACTATATTTCTTTTTTTATTATGAAAGGGCAAGACCACAAGTCTGCCATTCTGTGTCCTTCAAATTTTACTTGAAAAGCTACATTAAGTGGCTGTCTAACTGTCTCGTCACCCTGGATTCTGCATGAGTTACAATAACATCAAGAAAAAAATTTAAAACAACACTGAGGAAGAGAAATACAGAAGCAAGTGCCAATAAAAGAAATGTGCTGAAGAAAATGAACATATATACTGCAGATAAGTCAGATGTATGCGTCAGTGGTCTCTGGTATATACCTTCTTAAAAGGCAAGAACAAATGTAAACCTCTTCAATATCTTTTGAAATTTTTAATTTTAAATACTGCTTGATAAGCTCGCATAAGCAATTAACAGCCTCAGCCCATCCATCAGTGCCCACATCCGGGACAATATAAATCTGAGACATAGTCCTTTGCAATACAGAAGATAACTGTTTTTTTGCCCCTGCTCTTTGATACATCTCTGCCAAAATCCACAAAATCTGACAGTTGCTGGCTTTGAATATGTCAATCCATTCTGGTGGATCTCCAACCCACAAGTCAATGCTTGAAATAGAAGGACCTGTACTGATCTGATTATTAACACATACCAACGATGCATCAAGTGAAGATTCCGCGTTCCTGTGTGCAGGAAGGAGTTCAAGAATATCTGTCCTCAAGTCCTCAGGCAATTCTTGAAAAACCGAGGTGTCTACTTGACTTAGAGAAGAGGGCATTAGACCGTTGTCTCCTGAGACGGGAGCGCTACTTAAGTCCAGATTTGGTACACTAACATCAGAAACTGGCTCACTTTTCATATCAACAAAAAGCTTATTAGGATAAGAGACCACCACTTGGATTTCCTCTTCATTATACTGCTGCTCCTGTGATAGCCACCAGAAATCAACACTATTAAGTTGTAGAAACAAGATAACCATCACTGAAATTAAACTAGGAAATACTAAGCCACCCCAAGAAAAGAAAAAATGGAGAAGATACCTCACATGCAGCAAAAGCTTCACCTGATGCAGCAGGGCAAGCAAAAGAAACGTTTTCTTTTTCTGATACACCAAATTTAAAAAATATGAGAATTGAGGCAAAAGCTTACAACAACATGATATATACATAAGCTAATTGGGTAAACAGACTTCTGTAATTTTATGGAATGTATCTTCACCTTTGCTTCTCTTTTCAGTAATAAAATGAGCCAATTTTCCATCATACATGTCATTAATATCTGAAAAGACCTCAGGAGGAAGAGACTCTATAACTCCCATGTCAAGCTCGTTCATGGGAGGAAGAGTTCCCCTCTGTCCAGAACCAGCAGTACCAGAGGGTGACGCTGTAGTCATTTCAGTAAAAGGTGTACTTGAATCACCGTGCAACTGAGCCTGACGTTCATCAACACCGTTTTTACAATTATCTGCAGTATCAGAGAAGTAGATTGAATCCAAAGATTAGTCCAGCATGTCATCAGTGGAGCATGAATTCAATACATGTTTGGTGATACTTTTTAGTTAAATTTGTTGAAAACAAAGAAACCGATGTTGGAATAAGTTGAAATGAAACAACATAAACTATCATACTGAACTCTTTAACAGAAGCATTAAATAATAGATTTCAATCCATCAGAGCTGCAGCGATAAAAATCCTATTAAGTTTCTCTTGTGTGGCCAGAGAAAGGAGCAAAACAATCTAAGACAACAAATTATGATGTCCTCAAGTATTTCTAGGACACGCAAATTAAAGAGATTCCTATAAAAACCTTTCATGAGCTAGAACACAGCCAATGCAACCACCATGGAGTTTCAGTACCAGTTTAATTAACAATACTTCAATCATACAATTGGCATGATCAGAGGCAATAGATATCTGGACAGAAGCAAAGAAAGCAAGTAGGGAAGTCAAACCTGCATCAGCACCTTTCTCATGACTACTACTCCTTTTTTTGTGGCCGGTCTTAGCAGAGGCAGCAGTGAGCCAAGATCTGATGGAATATCTCTCTTTCCCTGGATATACGTCAATGAAAGTAGTAAAAAACCAGTTCATAAATGGCATACGGTCATCATCAAAACTTCATAACTGGCCTAGAGATAGATATATGAAACACAAAGAAAATCCCAAGCATTTTTACAGGAAAGGGAAAGTAACTAGAAAGACAATTCTTGTCAGAACAAAAACCTTGCTTGGAACTATCCGCAGTTTCAAGCTTTGAGACCTGCAATCCCATGCCTCTTATGTCCTCCGCATCTGCACAGCAACAGTTAAACCAGCAGTCATATTAGAAGCAGAAACAGGGTAACCTACAAGTCATAGCATTTGGCTTATTTATGAAACAAAGATATTATTAATTTTCTTTCTCTTACATTGAACAAAAAACCTATATGAACATCATAGAGTTCTATTTTTCGCATTTCATATGGCAAAAAAGCTTATTTAAAAATTACACTCAAAAACTATTTGTTTGACTCTCATAGCAAATCGATAATCACTCTGGTTCAGATGTATCAAGATGGAAAACCAAAACTAGGAAGCAACAAGAAGGATAAACCAGACTAAAATGACAACAAAGCCCAAAACTTTGAAGTTAATTGGTCCCTAGAACATAGCTAAACACGCTATTTATACTGAATGACACTGAGATCAACTAAAATTTTATAAGATAATCTATTCCCATTCTGGCATTCGCCCTAGAATGATGTTAACTAAGCATAATTGAATTACATTTGAAATATCGAGGCCTTCTTTAACCATAGATGGATTGAAGCAAGAGCACCCTCTTTTTTATTGTTTCAACTGCCATGACTCACATTCATTCTCAGTTCAAATTAATACAAACAAATTAACGTAATGATTGTTCTTGCATCCATTTATCCCTATAATTTGATCTCCTTTCAATCTTGCTTTACGAAAAGGCAGGAAAAACTCATACATACATATTTAATGAAACTTACTTATTTATTTCAAGGACTTAAGTTACATGCAGTGCCAAAGTGAAAACAAGTACACCATCGTTTCATTTTATAATCAGGTTACTCACCATAAATCAAATTAACGGTCACTTATCCACACTAGCTGTAGATGTTTCACAGGTAACCTTATAATTATTGTTTGAACTGGTATGATTCACATTCATTCTCCCAAGTAAATACAATCGAATTAGAGGCATATTGGTTACTCTTGCATTCATTAACCTTAATAAAAAATTTCGCTTCGATGCTCTAAGAAAAAAGGGTATAAGCAACTCATACATAGACATCTGATTTAAAATATACATTTATTTCAATTATTTAATTTATACACACTAGCAGTGTTATTAGCGTAGTTTTACCGGTTGTCCAGAGGTTACTTAAATTTTATCAAGTTACCAATCGACACTTAATAAAGTAAATTACCTAAGAGAAGCCCAAAAGTACAAAAACTTTCAAGTTATCAGTGCATATAACTTAAACCCTTGTGTTTTGGTGTGTTTGCTGATAGTTGTGTCTAAGCCAACTTGCAATTCACCTCCACTACACCCGCCACACAGGCACCGAACTTTGCAAATCAAGGCTTAGGCATATGTGAAGAAATCACTAGTGTTTTCTTTCTCTCCGTTGGAATTTGAACCCTGATCTCCAGGGTTCGCGCGCAGTTCACAGACCACTAGGTCAGAGCCATGGGTGCAAACTTAAACCCTTATGTTGAAATATAACATTGACTTCGGCAAAGCAGTTACCTATGTGTGAAGTCATAAAAAGCTGTGAAACGACTCTCTCAAGCACATCAACACTATCCGTAGCCATTGGCACCTACAATAGCCACAATGCAATTAAAACTAGGAAGTAAATAGAAATTTCTCCCGTTAGATAACATAGATCACAAGGTTATCACAGAAATACTAATACCGTGACAGAATGGCTCAAGTTATCACAAACGCCACAGCCCAAATACTTTACTGGCTCCCCTGCATCACTCCTCCTTTTTTTTATCTGTATTGATAGATTAGGTGCAAACACAGCATGAACATCCAACCATACAACACATTCAAAACCCCAGTAAGAATGCAATCTAGTTTCAGCTAAAAGAGCTCTATCGGATCTAAATAAGAATAATCAGCTTCATAGGGAAAGAAAAGAAAGAGAGAGAGAGAGAGAGAGAGAGAGAGAGAGAGAGAGAGAGAGAGAGAGAGAGAGAGAGAGAGAGAGAGAGAGAGAGAGAGAGAGAGAGAGNTAGGAAAATGGTTTGGTTGTTTGATAAAAGAAGAGTCATTTATGAGCTATATACGAGGCTAAATGACAAGATTGAGTTAATACTGAGGACAATGAAAGAAAAAAGACACTGAGGAGACAGACAAACTAAGGGAGTAGTCGTTTCAGCTTTTGAAATTGTCTGTTCCTGATAAAATTCAGATGCAGGAATTCTATTTAAATTCAATTAATCCACCCTGACTAAAAATTATATAGAGGGGTACCAATTTTAGGTGAATGATATTTTTGAGGGAGTCTTTGTTTATCACTTGATTTAGTTTAAAAATTATATAGCTTTTAAACATGTCAATTCCTCTCTCAGAAAAGACAAGGTGGCCAACATTTGATTCAGTAAGCGCGTACCGAATTAGAACAATAACCAGACAATTTGTTATTCTTGACATTTTACTAGGAAGAACATGAACTAACTAGGACGATGGAACGAGAAGTAGAGAAAATGTCTGCTTTCATATTGGGATAAGTTCACTCGTAATGCTTGATGTAATGTTTCTAATCCCTATTTGGTGCGAACTTTTAAGGAATGTGGGGATGAACAAGATCCAAAACCTTTAATCAGGGGTCTCGGATTCGAGTATTGGATAGAAGCTTTTTTTGTAGAAAGTGTTTTTTCTTTAATGAGCCCTACGTAGTGCAAATCCAAAGTAGTTGGTCCATCGTGCGGGTGTCAATGAAAATTTAAAAATCGACGAAATAGACCGAACCAATTTTTAGGTTTCTTTTAATAAAACCAAAAGTTTTTATATAAATCTATAATCGTACCGATAATTAGAGTAGATTTTTTATTGGCGTAATGGCTTCCTGGCCACTTAAACTTGTACCCGATTTTAAAGCCGATATACAAACTTACATGATTCCCATTTTAACACTCGAACATGACGGAATGAGTACAAATAAATACATCCATTAGTACGTGTATATCAATTGCGCTGACATGTACAACACATCATATACTAGACTATTTATTACTTGACATGTGTTATTTGTGGGTCCTATTCTTAAATACTAAATAAGCAAAAAAGAAGTCACAAATTTATAAAGAGAGAGAGAGAGAGAGAGAGAGAGAGAGAGAGAGAGAGAGAGACCTTCAAGGTAAATTTGCGGCCTTTCACTCCACACCCCTGCAAACGTAATGAAACCTCCTTGCAAAGGTTTAAAAGAAAATGATGTACCTGAATTCAGAAGGCGTTTAGTTCCTATAAGCATTAGCATAAAGGGTAAACAAGCAAAGATTGTTTGTGGAGATCTAACGTCTTTCAGATCCTTGAACCTTACGCCCCAGTTAACGTCTGCACCAATGGATTTGCTTTCCTGCAAAAGGTTCTAGAGAGCTTTAATATATTTGGCTTGAAACTGCATGACTGATTCAAAACAAAAATGACAAACTTTATGATGCAGATTTGCAAGATGTAAAACATGTAACTAGCTTTTGCTTCCTTTGGACAGGCACTAGAAAAGCTTTTAATATCTCTACAGAAATCTTGTGCAAGTCTTTACGTACTACTTAGTATTTTCAACCCTAAAGCAGAATTTTGCTCTGTAAATATCACACACATACACACACACACCCCAATACCACTTGTGCCTCTGCTTATATTGGCACCAGAATGCAAGGTAGTAGCAGCAACAAGCACAGGAGGCAAAAAAGTACTCATCAATCATTAAGCAAGTCTCGAATATTCAAAACAACAAGAAACAGCAGAATAAAGGAGTTAACGGGAATTCGTGAATCAGTTGTGTGACTATGACACAATCCAAAAAGAAATGCATACAAACTAGAGGGTTATATACAGTAAGATAATCTGTGTCGTCCTAACCTGTATCATGCCAACCAACCGATCATCTATCCCTCTACTATAGTTCCATAGCATACTTCCAGTTTTATAACCAAAGTCCTTCTGAAGAGTTTCCTGGAAACACAACAAATAAGTGGGAGATTTCATATACAAACAAACACACGCACAACTTTTTTTTAATAAAGAAAGAAGTTTCAACAAGTGCTGTAATGTGAAAAGAAGTCCTGAGCAATTCCAAGAGAAGATAACTAACCAGCGATCTAACAAGTTCTGCAATGTTTATGACATACTTTTTTTTCTCAAAAGAACATCCTCCATATGAATAAGGGATTTCTTAAGCACTGCAATGTTTATGACATACTTTTTTTTCTCAAAAGAACATCCTCCATATGAATAAGGGATTTCTTAAGCACTGATTAGTTTTCACAATTAGTAAGGCAAGATACACTCATTTTACATTTGAAAACATCTATAAATGATGAGTTTAACAAAACATCGCTAGCAGAAATAAACTCCAGGAGCTGAAAAAGCTAAATAGCCATAAATGCAGCCTTAAATAAACAATGTATCTCCTATTTATCTCCTATCTCATCAGCTCTGTAGCTAACGACAATTCCAACGATTCTTGACTTTACATGGGCGGGAATGTGCACATGAAACTGGGGGGATAAGTGGCAAAGAGGACTCTGACTCAAGGAGGCAGCATGAATAACAAGCCTCACTTTTGTTTGATAGCTATCCAGTTGAGATTGCCTGTTAAACATGAAATATTCATGGAGGGCTATGGATAGAGAAGGCACATAAACAAGTAAATTTAACATAACATTGCTCTTTTGTAACGAATGATAGTATCTGTCCAGATGGTGCGCATCTCGAATAGTCCACCGTGTACCTGCTACCTCCATTGGCAGTATCAAATAACTCTATCTACCCCCCCCCCCCCCCCAATAGCTTAAAGGCAAATCGTAAAGAATTCAACAAGTGTCATCTCAGCTGGAATTCAAACCTTGGTTCCCAAAGTTGTCACTCCAGCGCTTCAACTGCTAGGCCACCCATTTGGGCGGAACTCTACATACAAACTCTTACAAATATAGCAAACATACCCTTTAGTACTTTTGCAGTACCTTCTTGGTACTACCTTTAATAAAATACCATTTATCAAGAACAAATATAACAAACATAACTGAACAAGAAGACTCCATCATCTATCTTTGTAGCACGAAATTTAATGATTCATGAAGTCCTCTTATAGTTTTTCTTTCAGTGCAATAAAAAAGAACGTATATGAGAGAAACCAGATCAAAAGAGATGCAAAAAAGTGCTTGCTCTGCACATATTGAAGTGTGTGACCATCTCATCTAAACACTTAAGCTGTTAGAGAGAGCACACTTTTATTTACTTAATTATCTCTTTGACATGCCCCCTCACGTGCAGGCTTCATTCATTTTTTTTCATTGGCCAAGCACGTGGAAATCCATTATAATGGTAGCGGTGAGACTTGAACCCAGGACCTTTGTCTGCTCTGATACCATATTGAAGTGTATGACCATCTCATCTAAAAGCTTAAGCTGTAGAGCACACTTTTATTTACTTAATTATCTCTTCAACAGCACAAACTATAAGTAGATAGGAAAATCTACATCATGAGAGCAGTCACCAAATTATTTCAGGAAGAAACAAATACTAAACAATGAAAACCTTGGAAAGCATACGCAGCTGCCCGCAAGTTGTGATTTGTCTCCTGTTCAACTTCTCTTCCAACACATGACCAATTCCAGGAAGTGATTTTACGGGAAGTTCACACAGGTGCTCCTCCACCTGATATAGCCAACAAGATAAATCAGCACTGTATATCACAATGATTATTTTACTTCTCCAAAATGATCTTCAAGTCTTTGTTTTCCTCTTTTTCCACTACATATATTAGACACTAGAATATAAGATGATATGAAAAACGGAAGTTAATCAACAACGATCTAACCAAGAGAACTACATGTTTGCTACAGAATAGTATCGGTGACGGGGCAAAATTATGTGATCAAAAAAGCCATTCTCGGTGACTTATCCTTTGAGAAAATAATTCAAGGATTCTGTTCCTTTTTTTTTGGATAAGTTGATAAAAAGATTAACTTCTTTTCTAATTAAAAAAATCAAGGATTCATGTCGATTTCCATCTAAAATCCAGATTTAGTAGGTTATGCTTGAACAGGATGAGACATAAACAAAGTGAAGCAAAAACAGCCCAACATCTCATGTAGCAATAGGATGACGAAGCCTTGCAAAAAATCCACTTTTCAACAGTGGAGCCTATAAAATCTGATTGACTTGTGGCATGTCCTTTTTAGAAGTACGTGGCAATTCAAAATGCATTGGGCAAGAAGAGATTAACTTCACATAGTTAAAGAGAAAGCAATGACATGTAACCAATAAATATGTAGCTACAAAATAGAGTTTGTAATATAGTAAAAAAAAGATGACAGAAATCAAGATATAAGCCCTTCCCATTTTATAAATGAAAAAGACAGCTAGAACAGAAGCTACCATCTCAGCAGGGATGTAACATTGCCCATCAGGTTTTGCAGTCCTAGTAGCAAGACGTGCCATAAGCATATTCCCACCAATACCAGCACTAGCACTACAGCCTGTCGCATCAAGAATCTCCTTTCTGATCATTGAGACAAAAGCTTGAATGTCCTCTACTCCAGAATCAGTGGCATCTAAAAATGCTTCATCACAACTTACGGCCTGCATTCAGTAGCTATTGCCAATCAAGAGATACAAACATAGCAAAGTTGTTCAAAAAAGAGTTCTGAGGCCATACCTGCACTTTGTTGCAGTACTTGTGCAAGATGTTATAAAAGCTATCAGCAACCTGCAAGCCAAATCAGATTCTATAGGATCCAATTCCAAATATAGGAAGAATTTAATTAAAAGGGGAAAAAAGAACAAGAAGAAGAAACTGAATAGCATTCCCACCTCCTCATAAGCTTCAAAGTCGTAAGAAAGAATGACAAGGTGAGGGCAACGTGACTTGGCATCTCTGACAAACATTCCAGCCTTTACTCCTATGAGACAAAACTATGAATGACAATCAAGTTTCCAACACAGAATGATGTTTACTAAAAGGTAGACTGACTGAAAGACTCACCATGACTCCTAGCAGGATAATTCGCTGATGATATTTCTGCTGTTCCACGTGGATTATCTGAATGGCAAATGGCAACAGGTTTGTCCTTCAACTCAGGGCGATTTCTAATGACCACAGACACAAAAAAGCAATCCTGAACAAATAAAGTTGAATTAGTTGTTTTAGTACAGAGAATAATCTACAGATATAAGTAAAGTAGTATATCATTCATGGCATTCCTTCAGCTCGAGGAGGGTGAAAAGGGGGAGGAGCCAGAACATAGAAGCAGTAATAACAACATAAAGAGAACAAGTTAGGTTTTCGGACCATCGCAGCAGAAAATTACCATATCCACATGAATAATGACCGTCTTATTTGCTGTGGCTGAAGAACTAGTGCCTGAACTTGAGCATCTAAATCCACCAGGAGAGCTAGGAAATCGTTTACGATACCGGTTTCTCCAGGTGCCAATGAAATGCAACCTAGAATGCTAAGCACATGAGGAATATGTCAACCACTTCAGCACTAAGTGCTTTTAATATTTCGCTATGCAGTTATTTATCAATATATACATATATTTATGTATATATTTATCAATATCAATATATACATATATTTTTGTATATATTAGTTATGACATGCATAGCTGCAGCAAATAAACAAATTCAAATTAATATATCCACAAGAAAAAGCAGGTAATCTCATCGAATCAGAAGGCCCCAACAAATCTGGATGCCAAAGGAAAAGGAAAACGAACTTGGGAGTAGAGATTGTTCATTGCAATTGTGTATTTTGGGGATAAATACAAGATGTTCAAGCAAGAGCAAAGCCAATATCAAGATATCAACGTACATACCTTAAAGTAATTTTCCACAAAATTAGCATCAACTAGAGTTGAATGTTTCTGATTAGGAGACCTAGGAATCTTTAAATTTGATGGGCCCTCATTAACAGGATCACTCGTCCAGTCGCTACAAGCTGATGCACAGTTGTGAGGACTGGAAGGTGCTGATAATGGAGCATGGCTTCCATCTCCACTTGCAGCATCACTCAGTTCCTGCATTGCCACGCTACAAGTTGACTCTTCAACTCTAGCTACATTGTAGTTCTCTTGCATTAGATTGTTAGTTTCTGGATCACAAGGCTTCAGATCTTCTGCAGATTGCCACTCTTGATAGGATATAGGGTCTTCTATTGGTCCAGCATATGACATTGGACTCTCAACACTAGATGTGGCTTGGACAGTTGAACATGTTGCTATATCATCAGAAATGGAAATGTTTTTCGTAAAGAAAGCAGATAGCTTAGGCTGGTTATTAACTTCACTTGCAAGCTGATCAAGCTGATAAGGAACCCCTGAAGACAACACAGAGGACTGATGTTAAAGAAAATTAAAAGTACTGATGTGAGTCACATAAAGAATAAGAAAATACCAATCAGCAAAGCTACAACAAAATGATGAAACAAAACTGATGCAGCAGCCCAAGGCTCATAAAGAACTTGACAAAGGCGCATGCACCTCGCAATAAACTTTTTGTCTTAAGGCAACAAGGTAGTCTTCTTAAGATCATTTTCATGTTCCCCTTCAAGTTGTCTCTTCACTAGGTGGAGATAGGGCCTGAACTTGTAAACTATTGCAATGGAGATATACAATACAAACATAACTAGATGACACATAAAACGAGCAGTTTCTTGTTCACCTCTTTTTATCCCCCTTTGCCAATTCAACAAATAAAAAGAGGCCTAAGAGGAAGGATAAGCACAGATTGTCAGATTCTCTCTATAGCTTCTGTAAACAATATCCTTTCACCCACAAAAAAAAAAAATCAGGGAAGATCACCTATAAAAAGAGCTAATGCATAAACAAGTGGTCAACTTGCTCGTTTGCATTAAAAAGGAAGTCATGGAAATATAAACTTACAATTCAGAAGCTTATTTGCAGCGACAGAATCCAACACCCATGTGGGTTTGACTACTGGAAGTCCCCTGCTAAATGACCTATATCAAATTCAAACAAATCTTAGAAGAAGAAGAAGAAGAAGAAGAAGAAGAAAAATTACAATTTCTATTTCAGCAGAGATACAAAAATAAGAAAGTGACAACCTGATGAACTTGGTTTTACAACTGACCTCAAATTCTTGACCTTACTGTCAGGAAGATTACTACAGATTATATGCGTAACACGACGCCTAGAAAAATAATTTTCAAAACGGCCTCCATGCTTCAGCATATATCCTCGAAGTTCCTGATGAAGTTGATGAGATCAATAAACTGTAAGAGAAACAACCCTATTTCTATGTGAAAAACTCAAGTAAAATACGGAAACGAAGACGATAAGTCTACGCTCAAGGTATTGATTGCACTAAAGATGGATGTTTGTATAATGGTTTACATGCAGATTCGGTAACTCTTCTTACACAAGTAGAAACTCTCAAGTCACGGAAAAGTAGAATACAAGTAATCATTTGTTTCGACAATTCAAAAGTTTGAGAAGGTTTTCTATTGAAGAAACAATATTAGACATCATGTGACTCATGATCTTTTAATTCTTAAAATTTCAAGCAATCATATTCCATTAATCCCCGTCACGAAAATAATGACTAGGAAGAAACCGTAAAGCATTAAACCTGACTGGAAGGAACTGTATATCCGTCAACAAAAATGGAAACGCCATGAAATATAGGTTTTGAAGAAACTGGACCACTATGAGAAGTGCTTGACGCCTCCGCATCAAACTGCTCGTGAAGCTTCTGATTCTTCACGGCCATGTAACTACAGCAAAGTTCAATGATAAGATCAGCAAATTGGCAGGGGCAACGCACCAGCAACAATTCACATAGCATGCACTATACACATTCAAATCTAAAGCGAGATGAAGGAGTGCATTTATGAAGTAAAAATTGTAAAAAACAGAGCACTTGGCCAATAATTAACGCTTGTAAAGTAACAAAAATAATATTTCTTTCTGATCAACACATTCTACTAGTGGCCGTCTTAATGATGATCACCTTATTGAAGTCAACTCGAAGGAAAACACTCTTCAGCCCATTAAACTGTTAAAATATTCAAGACTGTGTATAAAGATCCTAAATAATTTACACAGGATTGTGAACTAGCACAACATTAAAATTTCGCAAGATTAGTGTAAACAAAGTTGAGTAATTTACCTTCCAAAATTTGAGAAAGGTGAACTACTGAAGGCAGGACGAGAAGCAGAGCGAGAATTGGCGCCCCAAGCCATGCCTAGGGTCTTCTGACTCGTCTTCCTCTTCTTGTTGCTCCGATTGCTGCTGTTACTCCGAGGGTTTGAAGTAAATGAATTTGAGGTTCGTTTCGAATTGGACCCAGAGTTCGCAGAGCGTGAAGGTTCCATTTTCGTCTTCGATTGCTCAGAGTTGTGGCGCAGAAATTGAAACGTTGATCTGGTTGGGGGTTTCCAAAATGAGGCGGGATATATATATATATATATATATATATATATATATATTATTTCCTGAACCCGCGGAAATAAACGCGTCTTTTATTTTTATTTTTCCTTTTCCTTATTGGAGAGGGTGAGCCTTTGTGAGATACCTTTTTTTTTTTAAAAAAATATTCAATTTTACCTTGAAATATTATTTTTAAATTACTCTAACTATATATTAAAACCAAAATTATCTTATAAAGTTGAGATGTTATAATATCCTTAGAAAAATAGATAAATTATTACTTTAAAAGCAATTCTATTATTTTGTCCATTATTTTATAATATACTATTTTCCGTTGAAAAGTTTTAGTCGAAGGGATAATAGCACTTTTGGCTTATCAATTATTGGTAAATTCTTATTTTGGTCATTTCTAATATATTTCTAAGCACATTTTAACCTTCAAGCAATTGGCATGTGTACTTTTGATCTCTCTGTATGTGAATTTTGAAAACTTTATTGAATTATTAGGCATTAGATCATTTAATTACCATATTTGTTAAGTTAAATTTGTATTATTACTTCATATTTGTAAGTAGCATAGTTTTAGAAATAGTTTAAATATATTATATATCATACATTAAAAGGATTAAAAGCATATGTTTTAATTAATTGAAGGTTAATTATGTTCTGTCATATATCATAATAACCAAAATCAATTATACCCTGAATTTTGCTTTAAAAATTAAACTCCCTCCTCTACTTTGAACAATTATCATTCTCCCCTATACTTCTCAATTGACTTTTTAAAATGCTTATTTTAACTCTATGTTATCAGTATTTATCTCTTTCTCTTTTTTACTTTTACCTTTCCAATATCATTATATTTTTCTTTTTTCTAATATCTATGCTATGAACTTACCGATATAATAACTAAAGTCAAGCATATAATTTATTAGTGTTCAATAATGAAGAGGATGAGTAGAATAAAAATTAAAATAAAATAATTTGCTCTTATCGATGATTTTATTAAAAAATAAAATTTTAAAACTCTATTTATACAATCGAGAATAAAAAAATAATCAGAACCTTATGGACATATACTCAATGCAGATAACATAAATTTATAATTATTAAAAGTAAATACAGATTTTATAATAAACTCCTAAAAGATTATCTATTTACACTGAAAAAATTTAACTAAATATATACTTAATATATGCAATATTAAAATAAAATCATGAAGTATATAGACTTTGTGACAAATTTATAAAAGGACTATTAAATTTATAATTTTAACAAATTTAAATTAAAATATATGATAAAGTATAACATAATTTAAATTATAGGTAAAATCATAAAAATAACATATAAAATAAAAAAGAGTATTGAGGGAATTAAAATTGACAAGGGGCAAAATAGATATTGTGTGTGATAAAAAGGGAGAGCGAAAACTATTAAAGTAAAGGAGGAAATTGGATTTTTAAAGTAAAGTTGGTTGTTATAAATCATTTTCACCCGACCCAAATGTTGTTATCCTTTTTTTAATCACATCATTAAATCACGCAATCTATATATTACTAAAAGGAGAGGAAAAAAGCATTCTTCTTATGCCAAGTGGCAGCCTAGAAAAAAACTACATGGCATAAGTAATTAACAATTAGTTATCTATATCTATATATTATTAAAAGGAGAGGATTGCACTCTCCTTAAGCCAAGTGGCAGACTAGAAAGAAACTGCATGGCATAGTAGTTAATACTCCCTCCGGTCCACAATAAGTGATCAATTTTGTTTTTCAAAATTACCCTTATGTACGTATCCCGAAAAAGTCATTTACTCCTCACATTTGAGAAGAGGAGTAAATGCTACTATAACTATGCTGCAACATTTAATTAAGGGTAGTTTAGTCACACTAACTATTTTTTGTCTAGAATTTAGTATTTCCTTAATGGGTGTACTCAAAGCAAATTGGTCACTTATTGTGGACAGGAGGGAGTAATTAGTTATCTATATACTCCTTCCGGTCCATAATAAGTGACCAATTTACTTTTTATTTTGGTCCAAAATAAGTGTCCATTTATATAATCAAGAAAAAATTCAATTTGTTTTCCCAAAATTACCCTTATGTATGTATCCCTAAAAAGTCATTTACTCCTCACATTTGAGAAGAGAAGTAAGTACAACTATAACTATGGTGCAACATTTAATGAAGGGTTATTTAGTCACACTAACTATTTTTTTCTAAAATTTAGTATTTCCTTAATTGGTGTGTCAAAAGCAAATTGGTCACTTATTGTGGACCGGAGGGAGTATTATTAAAAGGGGAGGGAAAAGCACTCTCCTTAAGCCAAGTGGTAGCCTATAAAAAAGTTACATGGCATAAGTAGTTAATAATTAGTTATTTAGTTAATAATTAGTTATTGGTTATTGATGACTTATATGAGTCCACAAAACTATAGAGTACCTGGTCCTCTATGAGACTGATACGTAGAATGCAGTAACGACTAAATGTAAAGAAGGCCAGAGATTTTCTACGTGGAAAATTCCCACACAAGGGGATCAAAAAACCACGACCTACACCTGTAGGCTTTAAACTCAACTAACTTGTAATCTACCTATTACAAGCCACTTTGCAAACACCCATTTGCAAAGACTTCAAACTAACTTGTGATGCACCACCACAAGCCAATCTATAACTCTCCTAGTTACAATTTAACTTATGACTATTCCTAGTCACAACATAAACTCTAAAGTTTACGAATTTGGTTTGTTCCTAAGACAGCGCTTCTAAGAAAGCAAACTAGGAATTACAATGTAGAACAATTAACAAGATTACAACTCAACTATGGACGTACATAAGACTCGGTTAGAAACTGATCCTTAGTAGAGTTGTCCTCTTGTTCTTGACACACCACTGACTTCAATGCTAGATGAACTTTGTTATGCTTGAGAGAATATCACTGAATGCACGAGGAATAGTGTGTCTTGCACCAGGTTGTTTTATCACAAAAGATGGCACAATGGATAGTGATGTCAACTCAAGGTGTATACTTCTTTCCAATCAGAATTGACTGTTGTACAATCTGCACAGCCACTTCAGGGCAGTTGCATTCCAGCTGGATAGTGGGCTTTGTACTTCCTGTCAAGACACACCAACAGAGCGGGTCCTAGTTGTGTTCCTCTTCTGTAACAGTTGCTAGATGGTCACTTTCTTCTGTCACGTTCCAGCTGTGTACTTGACTTGTACTTTTTGTCAGAGAACCCTAAGACAGCAGGTCCCTGTTGTGTTCCTCTTTATCCTGATTGCGTACAGTCATTGACTTGCTTGTGTCAGAGAACCCTAAAGGACCAGATCATCAGGTCCCTGCCCTTGTTGTGTTCCTCCGTTTGCTGATTTTCAGGCTTCGATTAGTTCACATGAAATATATGTCCTGTGTGTCAGGTGCTCTATATGGTTCTTCATGACAAGTTTGTTAGATCATCAAAACATAAAATACTGAAAACCCATCAATTTCCCCCTTTTTGATGATGACAAACTTAGGCATGGACGATATTTATTTAGAGCAAAAATAACCAGATGAGATGCTAGTAGTTCCCCCTTAATCTAAGGTCTCCATCATTCTCACACGTAAGTTCCCCCTTAATCTGATATCTCCCTCATTCTCACACTTCTTCTTTTCCCCCTTTGGCATCATTAAAAAGGACAAGAATTAAAAAGAGAACCAGCAGGTAAGAAGCATAAAGAAGTCTAACACAGCTAGCTCATGCCACATATGTGCACACAACATGATAGAAAAGAGAAGCCAGAGGAACACAGGGTTGTACAAGCAACGAGAAGGAAGTTGTTTCATTAATGTTTACATTGGACCGAGTAATTTAGGAGCAGTAATGGTTAAGTACAGCATGCCATCACAACAAAACATGCAAACAAAAGTAAAACAGCAGCCACAAGAGGTTGGAGCAAAAATAGCTTGACACAGGGAGGATCCCAGGGGACACTAAAGGAAGGAATCTTGGAAGAAGAGACGGCCACAGTTTTGAGAACCAGGTCCAGACGTCCAGTCTAGCATTTGCGGACAATTGTTCTTCAAGTAATTGAGCCCGGAGTGTCTCATTTTCCTTTGTCATTCGTGTAATCTCCTCATGTACAGAATCAGGTCCTTTAACTGCTTGACTGAGCTGAGTTTTTAGTATGGCATTTTGAGCCCTCAGCCTTCTTATTTCCTCAGAGGCTACATTTTGAGCGCTGATCAGTTGAGAGATGGTCGAGATGCTTCCACCAACCTTTTCAATACATTCACATTCTTCTAGAGTGGTCTTAAAGAAGGTTTGCTTGCGTGTGTCCACTCTGGGATTCCCCAAGGGAACCTTATAGAATCTGAACACCTGAGTGAGGAGAAAGCCATAAGGTAACCCATGATTTTCACCCTTGAAATTTGCCACCTTCTGCATATGGTCTATCATGATTGCAGGCAGATTGATTGGGACAAACTCATCGAGCGCTTCCATTAGGACCATGTTCGATCTTGTAGCAATAGAGCGCCTCTCAGAGCGGGGCAAGAGCACTTTATTAACCAGTTCGAAGAGAAGCTGGTACTTAGGAAGCAAAACCTTCTTATGCACCTGTTCCCCCTATTGAATACCTTGTTCTTTTAGGATGGCTCTCCGAAAGTTTGCTCCACAGACACCCTTAACTGAGAACATACCTTCACACAGAATTCTGAGAATCTTTCCCAACGTCGAAGCGTCGAGTACACTGTCTACCACATTTACAAGCGCACAAATGTGATCCCCCTCAACAGTGAAGAGAGATGCGTAAAAAGTTTGTACTGCATCTTCGTACACCAAAGGCACTCTCTCTTCAAACAAGTGTTCCCATTGTTGAAATTCCACAATCTCCAAATTTGTCTCATGCATGTCATCTCCGAAATTGCTGGATCAAATGTACGACCCCACAACACTTTTTGAGTTCTTAATCTCTGTTGCCAAAGACCACCATCACGGGTCATATACTTTATTGTACCAGGTTCC